GTAGATATAGTCTTATCTGGAGAAAAAAGAGGAAGTTTCAAAGAAACAACCTCTTACTTTACCTCACACACTTCCCAGCCTAATTCTTCGGCCTTCCACACAGCTTCCTTCCCCAGGAAAGAGCAGTGGAGAGACTAGTGTGGATAAGTAGGGCATCTGTCCTGGCAGTGCAGAGCCATCATAGAGCCAGCTTCTCCTGTCCTGCATCTTCATGCCTGGTTTCCTTCTGCAAAACTCCTCTCCTCCAGGCTTGCTGCCTGCTTGTTTCTGCATCACCATACTGCTTTTGAACTCAGTTTCCAGTTAAAATGACATGGATAGGATACAGAGAGAAAACATACAGATATCATCTTTTTCCAAATAATTTTATGTGTTATTTTCTGTGTTCTTCTCTTTATAAACTGTATTTAACCCAAGACTACATGTGGTAAATTATAATGTGGCTTTTCTGATCCAGACATCCAAATGGATAGACCTCTTTAAAAGGGGAAATTCAGGACTGGAGAGATGACTCAGTGGTTAAGAGCACAGACTGCTCTTCCAGAGGATCTGGGTTCGATTCCTAGCACCCACATGGCAGCTAACAACCATCCTTAACTCCAGTTTCAGGGGATCCAATGCACTCTTCTGACTTCCATAGGCATTGCACAACATGGGTGCTCTTACACCCATGCAGGCAATACACAATCATATACATAAAATAAAAATAATAAATTAGAAGTAAAATAAAATAAAATTTCCAGTGGAAGGTACTGTTACTTGCCTCATGATATAAAGATGTTTATAGTAAAAGCTGTCTATGGATGCTCTATTTGTCACTAACAATGTATTTGGATGGGAACCTCCCACTAACATTTGAGTCCCTTAGGCCACGGGAGAAGTGAAGACACCCACTTAGCCCTGGGACATAGAGAATTGCATATCACTTTAGCCATAACAGGAAAATTAAAAAGATCTTTAGACTTGTGGGAACCCCTTGCAAAAATATTTTGGATTGGATTATGTCTTAGTTTGTTTCTTCATTGCTGTGACAAAATACTCTGACCACTACCAACTTGGGGAGGAAAGGGTTTATTTAGCTTACATATCCCAGGTCACGGTTCATCTGGGAGCCCAAGGTAGGAACTCAGGGCAGGAACCTGGAGGCAGGAGCTGGAGCACAGGCCATGGAGGAACGCTGCTTACTGGCTTGCTCCCCTGGCCCTTACTCAGCCTACTTTTTAATGCAACACAGGCCCACCTGCCCAGGGGTGGCACCACCCACAGTGGGCTGGGCCCTCCCACATCACTCATCAAGAAGATGCCCCTCAGACATGGCCACAGGCCAGTCCAATAGAGGCAATTCTCCAATTGAGGCTCCCTCAACCCAGGTGTGTCAAGTTGACACTAAAGCTATCCAGCACAGACTATGAAAGGAAATTTTGCCCAGATGATATTGATTCAGATTAAACTGGTCAAATTCTTATTATGATTTATTCTCAGCTATTCCAAGAAATTTTAGCTTTAAGTTAATTGGCTCAATTGATTTATTGTTCACTTTGGTGGAATCAAACTGATTTGTCACTAGAAACTTATGATGGGATAGGCACTGCCTATAGTACCCTCTGGGAGAAAGTCCTCGAAACAAATGGTAAATTTATTTAATCATGTTATATCTCATGATATTAAGAAAAGGTCAGAAGGATGTAAAAATGCATGGCAAATTGGGAATAGTAAAGAAGGAATTTTGTATGAAGATTATGATGGCTGGATGCTTCCACAATGCAAATGAAATCTTCAAAGAAAGTTTTATGGGGGCTGGAGAGATGGTTCAGTAGTTAAGAGCACTGGCTGCTCTTGCAGAAGACCTGGGTTTGAATCCCAGCACCCACATGGCAGCTAACAACCATCTATAACTCCAGTTCTAGAGGAGTTTGACGCCCTCTCTGACCTCCTCAAGCACTGCATGACATGAGAGTGCTTTACATACATGTAGGCAACACACTCATACACATAAAATAAAAATTTTATGCTGTGAAGGTTTAAATAAATTTATATGGATAAAGGATGAGACAATATAGTATATTATATAATCTCTAAAATTTCTAGTCAGAATTCAATCAAACTTTTACTTAAATCAATGTGTTATTTTTCTAATCTTGCCAATTATTACAAAGATTAGCTTTAAAAATAAAATATTTGTCTGATTAAGGTTTGTTTAAGAGCATTTAGCATTTGCTCTTTATCTAAATATTAAACAATATTTAAAAGTACCAGACTGGCTAGGTGTGGTGGCGCACGCCTTTGGACATACTTGGGAAGCAGAGGCAGATAGATCTCTATGAGATTGAGGCCAGTCTGGTCTACATATCAAGTTCCAGGCCAGGGGCTACAGGGTGACCCTGTCTCAAAAAGACCAATAAATAAATAAGTTAAATAAAATTGGAGAATGTGTGTGCTAATTAGGGGGACCTGATTGTTTGGAGATTATAGAAACATCAGCTACTATGTCTATAATGCCCTTCATGGGTGTTGTTGCGTGCCGCACGTTGGTTTCGCGCTGCTGGGCGGGTCTCTCTGGCTCTCCGCGGCTGGGAGTGCTGGCGGCTGGCTAGGCAGATCGGCTGGCCCGGGCCAGGCGCTGGCGAGTGCAGGCTCCGCAGGGGGGCTGCAAGCTGCCGGGCGGGTTCTGCACCAAGCTGCAGGGGGCTCTGCGCCAGCTGCGGCCGCTCCCTCTGTGCACGTGGTCCGTTGGCCACCAGTCCCGGGCGGGGCAGGGGAGCAAAGCGGGAAGCGCAGGAATGTCGAATGCAGAAGCTTCGTGAGTGGGTGTTGACGTGGGACAGCTCCTCCTGGGAGACTGAATCACAGGCTGGTCGCAGGCGCAGTGAGACACAAATCAACAGCCCAGTCAAAGTCAGTGATACAGCTCCACTTTATTAGGGTGAAACTAGAAGATTTATAGTGTGGAGGCAGTAGCAAAAGCCTCAGCTGATAGGTCCTCCTAGGATGCTTTATTTACATGAGGCGGTGGGCTTCTATGCTGTCAGACAGTGCCTGATTATAAAAAACCTGGTAGTTTCTAGCCAGAGGTCATGTATCTGTGGAGGCCACTTCAAAGGTGAGTCAGGAAGAGAGTAGGAGGCCCCACTGAAAAGGGGAGTCCTTCCATCATGCGCAGAACCGGCTCGCGGCCATCCGGACATGGAGAGACTGCGACCCAAACAGCAGGGGTCCCCAACAATGGGGATCTGGATGATAATATTTATTAATGCAATATCCTCAGAGAAATGCCATGAAGTTTTTGGTTGAACCAAGACACCTTGATTAATAGCCAGTGGTTGAGAGGAGTTATCATTATAAAGCACTCTCTACCCTTAGGGGAGGCAGAGTGGGGCTTATAAAGCCTAAAACCACAATTACACCATGCCAGGGGCAAAGCCAATAACCCTAGGTATATCGGATCACCGTATTTACACCAGACCAGGGCAGGTCAGTTAACAAAGAGGTTTTCAGTTAACAAAAAGTTTCAGTTAGGAAGAACAAGTTTCTTAGAATTGCAGAAACAATGGACTCCACAGAGATGCAGGTGTAGCTGGATGAGAGGGTGTTCTGCCTCACTGCTTGTAAGTTTCCCAGTATTGTAGAAAGAGTGCACCCCCTGAGATGCAGGTGCAGCCTTCACAGGACCAATTCTTGTTGGCTGGCTGAAGTAAAGTCAAAGCATTGACTCAATATCACCAGGTGATAAGGGCTTGTATTGGGATCTTGGGCACATTAATTTAACAGAAGTTATCCATTGTTTGACAGAGTTCAACAACCAGTTACTTAAGTAAGGCCCAACCATTATTAGATCCAGGAGGAGAAGGATGAGAGGGCTTGCTAGGCCTGTAAGCAAGGTGGTCAACCTTGGATTCCAATGAAACCAGTGATGGAATCAGGAACTGTTGCCTCTCTCTCCTTCTGGAACTTTTGATGTTCATCAGATCTCCAGGATTGAATGGGTGGCTGGGTATAGAGGTGGGAACTGGATGTCTCAGATGTTAGAATTGACTGTAGATTCAACTTGCTGGAAATACTTTAGTGGAGACTGATTAGTAAATTTTCAGAATAAATTCCCTTAATCTAGGTTGGTAGAAGAGGCAGCCTTCTGGACATAATCTTATATGGGGTGAAACCCACCTTCTAGGGAGTACATCTGACCCAGAGGAGGACCAGTGGTAGGAAGTTGGACCAGTTTTCACCAGTGCCTGTCCTTGAGGGCAAGATGAGTTTCTTGTAGACAACAAAAAGATGGATTTTGTTTTTTAATCCCTGCAGCTAACCTGTGTCTTCTGATTAAAAATCGAGGCCATTGATGTTTAAAGTTATTATTGAATGTTGAGTATTAGTTACTGTCATTTTATTTTCTGTTTTTGTTCTTGGTCCTAGTTTGTGTTTCTGTAATTCTAGATTCATTTGCTTTCTTGCAATATCCTCTTGGCTGTAGTCATTCCTTCCTTCAGTCCTCTGTATTGCTTCAAGTATTTTCTGTGGAGTTTGGCAGACATGTCGTCATTCTATTTCTACAGGCAAACAGGCTCAAAACCCTTTTGAATGGCATTTGAGATCCTTCACACCACTTTCTAGCCTTGAACTGAATTTCCGTATAGATATTTCCTGTGTTAAGTTGGAAACTCACAGAGTGCAGTAACTACTGTTGATGATGATGATGGTGATTATGATGATGGTGATGATGATAGTGCTGATGATAGTGATGATGGTGATGATGATGATGATGGTGAATACTGACTGCTTTTGCAGAAGACACGGTTTCCATTCCCAGCATCCACATGGCAGCTAACAACTGTCCATAACTCCAGTTCCAGGGAATCTGATGCCCTTTTCTGACCTCTGCAGACATTGCATGACAAGGGTGCACTTACATACATGTAGGCCTAACACTCATACACATAAAATAAAAATAATAAATAAAATTTTTTAATTAAAATTTTTTAAAAATTAAGAAACAAACTACAACAATTTTTTAAACTTTTATTATCTTTAATCAGGAAATATCTGATTCAGTGCTATTCCCGGTTTCTTTGATCCATCTATAGCTTATTTCAGAAATGAGTTAAGAAATAAAGAACTAGAAAATGGAGAGAATGAGGGTCATGGAAGGAGAAGTATGTATAGAATCTGGGATAGATTTGGAATTAAAAGGGTAAAGGGGGCCATCTGGATACCATATGAGTTGGCAGACTCTATTTAAAAGAACATGTGTATATGTACATATATATATATGATTTCTTTTGCTACTTTCTTGATTGTATTTAAGACCAAGACCAAGTCAGAGGGGGCTGAGGTTTCCTAGGTTCTTTCGGGGTAAGGGGACGGCACAAGAAAAGATTGACAAGGGAAGGTAGTGGAGGGAACAACAGTGAATGTGATGGGAGAGAATGCCTTTAGGGAGCCCTGGAATGCTTTAGGGGGTGAGGCTGGGGAATGGGAGATTAAGAACATGCCCTGGGGCTGATCACTGCTTTTGACTGAGCGTGTCTCATCGGGGCTACAAGGGCAGAGCAAAACTTGCTAGTTGACATTGTTTGAGAAATCGCTGGCAGGCTCTGGAGTTCCTGTTTGGCTTCCTGTGGTGCTTTTGGTGTCCTAGGATACAAGGAAAGAGGGTTGGCTACTGTCAAAAACTTTTCACAAAGGTTTATTGGTTGTGTGTGTGTGTGTGTGTGTGTGTGTGTGATGTGGGGGATTGACTCATGGCACACTGTGCATGTGGAAGTGAGAGGACAATTTACAGAAATCAATTCTTTCCTACCCTGTAGGGTCCAGGAATTTAACTCAGATCCTCAGGTTTGGTGGCAAGCGCCTTTACCATCTTGTCAGCCAATGATTTACTTTTTTTAAAAAAACAAAAACAAAACAAAACAAAACTGCTCAATTAGGGAGGAGCAAAACTGTTCCCTGCTGACACTGGTGTCATCTTCAGAAATCAATGACCAGGTCATAGCACATGTATCTCCTTTTACATTGTTAAATGCTGCCATTCTAAAATCTAGGAATTTGGCTAAACCTTTCTGGTTTCAGAATAATTGTGTCCTGCTGTCCTTGGCCTTCATGTGTCCCTGCAGGTCGGCATCAGCTAGAAGAGGCTGATTGACATGGATGCTGATTCGGGTCTTCATTTTATCTCTAGTCTCAGCCTCTCCTTCATCCCTAGTGATTCCTCCAGGTGACCGTGGGTTAAGGAAGACTGTTTTCTTGAAACTTACTGCTCTTTTTCACATTGCTCTTGAGATGATCACAAGGACAGTGTTTCCTTGGTGTCCTGGGCTCTGCTGTGAATTTTCTCCCGGGGGCTCTTAGGAACCAATCTGAAATAAAAAAGGCTGCTGCTTAGACAGGAAGGTTACTGTGCTGGAGAGGAGGGGGTTGGCAGGCTTTACTTGTCACCTTCCGAGCCTCCTGGTTCCTCTTTCATCAAGGGTCAGAAGGGGTCAACACGGCAGTAGAGTCATCAAGCTATGGGAGCCCCAGGGTTTCTGACATTTTGTTTTTAATATTTTATTTATTATTTTTATATTATGTGTGTGAATGTATTGCCTACATATGGTGTATAAGTGCACAGTGTAGTACTATGCCCTCAGAGGTCAGTCAGATTCTTTGGAACTGGAGTTCCAGGTGGCTGTTAGCTGCCATGGGAACCAAACCCAGGTCTTCTGCAAGAGCAACCAGTACTCAACCACCGAGCCATCTCTCCAGGCCCCCGAGTTGTTTTTCCTGACCTTTATTGGCAGGGATTTGGTGCCAAGTTTACCGGGGGCACTGGGAGATCACTGGAGAGCATTTGGTTAAAGAATGAGAAATAAGACCCAGCTGGGCATGGTGCTCATCGCTTTCATTCCAGCATTCAAGACACGGAGGCAAGCAGATCTCTGTGAGTTTGAGGCCTGACTGGCCTATATAGTGAGGTCCAGGCCAGCCAGAGCTACACAGTGAGACTCTGCCATCTTAAAAAAATGAAAAGGAAAAACGAAGACCCCGGCGTTGTGTTCTTAGGACGGCTTTCTTCTGCTTTCCCTCTTTCCTATAGTAAAATAAGACTGAGAGCAGGATGGAAGATGGATGGAAGATGCTTTTGGAAAGCCTGGGAAAGGTAAGAGTCCTTTTGGAAGGTGGCCTGGGAATTTGGGGAAAAGGTAAGGGGGAGGGGCCAGCTTGTGATCTGGCTGGGTCTTGCCTTGTAGGAATTACCTTATAGGAATCTAGTTCCTGCCAAAGACTCACTAAGAAAGCAGGCATTGTGGGTATTGTGGGCATTGTGGGCTGGAGAGATGGCTCAGTGGTTAAGAGCACTGACTGCTCTTGCAGAGGACCCCGGTTCAAATCCCAGCACTCACATGGCAGGTAACAACCGTCCATAACTCCAGTTCCAGGGGATTCCATGGGCATTGCATGACATGGGTGCACTTACATACATGCAGGCAATGCACTCATACATGTAAAATAAAAATGATAAATAAAATACTAAAAAAAGAAAGCAGGCATTGGCATGGCATCAGGTGGACTGCTGAGGTTAGCGCAGATAACATCTGAACTGGCCTCAGAGGGGTTAAGGAAGGGTGCTGGGGTTGTGATGGCGCCATCTCCGTGGTCAGTGCTGAATTACTGACCTTTGCACTGACATTCTTGGCTTCCTTCCTGGAGCCACCTCCGAGAAGCCTGGCGTTGGTCCCTGTGGTTTCTGGACAGCCCTGTTAGAAGGAAATGTATCTGTGGTCACTTCCGGGTACAGAAGAAAGAAAGCTCCCCCTCTGCCAGCCCCACCTCCCATCTTCTAATCCTCCAGCATTGTGCTATCAAGGAACTAAATCTACACAATTCGGTCTCTCTCTCTCTCTCTCTCTGTCTCTCTCTGTCTCTCTCTGTCTCTGTCTCTGTCTCTCTGTCTCTCTGTCTCTCTCTGTCTCTCTCTCTCCTTACTACAGAGATCCAAGGTAATTTAAGAGAGGACAAAAAATTGAAGCTTAAAATCTGGCCTACAGGGGCTGGAGAGAGGGCTCAGTGGTTAAGAACACTGGTTGTTTTTGCAAAAGGCCTGAGTTCGAATCCCAGCACCTACATGGCAGCTAACAACTGTCTGTAGTTCCAGGGAATCCAACAGCCTCTTCTGTCTTCCTTGGGCATTGCATGACATGGGTGCAGTTACCTACACACAGGCAATATACACATACACATAAAATAAAAATAATAAATTAAAAAATATTTAAAGAAAATCAATTCAATTAAAAAAAAAAAAAGAAAAGGAGCACTGGCTGCTATCCAAAGGACTTGGGTTCAGTTCCCAGCACCCACATGGCTGCTCATAACCGTCTGTAACTCCAGTTACATGGGATATGATGTGCTCTTCTGACATCCAAAAACACCAGGCATGCCCCTAGTACGCATAGATACGTGCAGGCAAAACACTCATACACATAAAAATAAAAATATTTTTTCAAAAAATGGCCTGTGGAGAAGCTTAGCTGGGAAAGTGAGGAAAAAATGACTCTTGATTCAAGAGAGAACAGGGTCAGGTTATTAAGACTACAACTAAGCCCCCCATCCCTTACAGTAAAATACTCATAACGTAACAGGTGAGAGCAAAGGACAGATAACTCTGCAAACCATAACTTCCATCTGACTTCCAAGTTGGATTTGAATTCACAATCTCGGTTCAATTATTAAGAGGATGATACTTGCGTTTGTTCCTCTGGGACAGACGCCTTTACCTTTGGGACTTCAATCAAGCCTCCTGCTTCCACGTTCCAAGTGCTGGGATCACAGGCCTGTGCCACCATGCTCCGCTCAAGATTTTTTGTTTTTTAAATTTAAAGATAATGTCTTGATATCAGACCACACTGGCTTGAACTTGCAGTCCTTGCACTGCCCCTGTTTCCATAGTCCCGAGGTTACAGGTGAACACCACCACACCATACCTGAACTATTCTTGAAGTCAGATATGAATGAACTGAACTCTTACCCCAGCTTCACATACTGAATCTTGAACCTCTAGTACCTCAAAATGACTAGATTTGGAGATAGGGCTTTGGAAGAGATGATAAGTTAAAATGAGGCTTTTGTGTTGGGTGCTAATCCAATATTATAAGAAAATGAATGTTAATTATGCATTTATAGTGTACAATGGGATATTTTGGCCTATGCATACATTATAGAGAGATTCAATCAAGCTCATTAGCATATATGAATTAGTTACTTTTAGGTTGCTGTGATAAAACACCATGACCAAAAGAAAACAGAAAAAGAAAAAAAGAAAAGAAAATGAGTTTTCAATACACAACAAAAATAAGTGCTCACAGAGGGACAACCGTATGACAATATAGTAAGTAGCTAACTGAATGTGTCCCCTTAAGACTCACATGTTGGAATCCTAACTCCCAGCATGTGACTGTGTCAAGAAGTGAAGACAGAGCTCTCAAACATGAAGACTGAGCTCTCATGAATGGGATTAGTGCCCTATGAACGGAACCCAGAGAACTCTCACTCTCCACCATGTGAAGATGTAAGTTAGCTATGTGCAGTCTGGGGAGGACTTTACCAGAATGCAAGCATGCTGACACCTGATCTCAGACTCCTACCTCCGGAACTGTGGGAAATGTTTCTGTTGTTTGTAAGTCACTCAGTCAACAGTACTGTGTTATAGCAACCCTAACAAGACAGCAACCATTTACCAGCCAAGGACAGAGGTCTCAGAAGAAATGCAAAGCTACTGACACCTTCATCTTGGATTCTAACTTCAGAGCTGTGAGAATGAAATGTGTTATTAAACCATCCGATTGTGGCATTTTCTTGTGACGGTCCTAGAAAACTAAGATTAAAATCTTCCTCCTCAGACTCGGAGCCAGTGGCTCAGTAGTGATTTATCTCATTGTTCCCGGCACGGTAGGCATATGGCAAATGTTTGTTCAGTAAGTGGATGGACAAGTTGTTTGGAGAGAGCCCTTAAAGATCGTCTGGTTCAATTCAGGCCTCGTGTTTCCCGGACTTCTGCCCTTTCTGTCACAGAAGGATGGTGATGATGTTGCATCACTTCCCCAGTGCTGTTTTCAAATGTTCTCATGAGCTGGTTTGAGTGCTACTAAAACAATGTAGAAAGGCACAGCCCTTGCCATCTAAATTTTTTTTAGCAGTTTCTTCTTGTGTGGGTTTTATTCCTCAGAGAAAAGCCATAGACTATTAGAACCAGAAGAAATGTAGATTATCTAGTTGACTCCCTTAATTGAGGTTTTTTTTTCAGTCTAAATGTAACACAATTATATTGGAAAAAGAATTGAAAGTGTAACAAAGAACTCATTCATTATTATTATTATTGTTATTACTATTACTATTACTATTATTATTATTTTGAGACAGGGCCTAATGTAGTTCTAGTTTACCCCAAACACTCCATAAGTGAGGATGACCTTGAACTCTGGACCTTCCAAGTGCTAGAAATACAGGTGTGTGGCAAGAACTCATGACTTTTACTAACTTGGTATTTTCACATGTATGTTACATGTTTGTTGTTTTCTTTATACAGTGATAACCATATTATGTGAACATAGTTCTAGCTTTTTCTCTTACTTCATAAGGCATATTACTGTTCTTTTATTGTTTGTTTAAGATGCCTGTTTATTTGTTTTTTTTAAGGCTCATGTAGCCCAGATTGGTCTTGAACTTGCTATATAGAGGAGGCTGACCTTGAACTGCTGATCTTCCTGTTTTCATCTCCCTAGTACTAGGATTGAAAGCGTGCATCTCCATGCCTGGCTGACATGTCATCTTTATAACAGAAATGTTCAATGTTTGTATAATGCTCCCAACAAGTTTTGTGTGTTCCAAATTATTTCCCCTTTGCTGAATATTTGCTTTTATTTTTAAATGTTGATAGAGCTCTGTTCTTTCAAAAATATTTTATTTATTGTATTTAATGTGTATGAGTGTTTTGCCTGCATGTATGTAAATATATCACATGTGTGCAATGCCCACAGAGACCATAAGAGGATGTCGGATCCCTTGGAACTGGAGTTGCAAATGGTTGTTAGCCACCATGCGGCTGCCTGAAGTCTTACCTGAGTCCTCTGAAAGAACAGCGAGTGTTCTTAACCCTGAGCCATCTCTCCAGCCACAAGCTTTGTTCTTATAAGTATTTCTTGGACTATTTTCTTGGGAATTTTTAAAATAAAGGACTCTTCGGGAGAGTTCTCTTGGTGGAATTACTAGTAAAAATTTAAGAAAAGCTTTTATGTTTCTAGATATCTTTATCAAGTTGTTTTTATGAGGACTAAATTAATTGGATCACCATCTCCTTTGTTTTACAGTGAGAGAAAGATGCGGAGTGAGCAATGAAATGGCTGAGTGAGTTCACAGAGGTAATGGCGACACACCCACGTTAAAACCAGCTCCCAGTGTTCACGTGCTCTGCTTCCTGCAGGGCTCTGGGACCCTAGCTTCCTGGGCATAACGGAAAATGAAGCTGCAGGATCCAGGACGTCCACCGACCCCATACTTCTGTGAACTACCTTTGTGAACTTTCCATAGCTTCTATCAACTCCCTTTCATCCACTTCTTTTTCTCTAAATGTACTTTACAAAATAGCCCCATGTGAAGTTATAAATTTGATATATGCTTAGATATTCATATTCTCTCTCTCTCCTTCTCCCCCACCCCACCCCTTGTGAGGTATCCCAGGTTGGCCTTAAACAGGCTATGTAGACTTGACTACATTTTTATAATGCATTAGAATAAATGTGTAATTGCTAAAGTTAATAAAGCAAATTTATGTTTAATCTAAAATTGGCTTGGGGAGACACTTGCACTTTATATCCAGATAGACCTGGGTCACCTTCCGGCTCTGTCACTTAACTGTGTGCTCTGTGCACTTGGATGCGCTATCCTAGCTTCTCTGATCTGTGATTCTCTGACTTATAAAATGAGGGCAGTGATACCCACTAGCAGAGGAGTCAATGAACTGCTGGGAGTGTCCAGAGTCCAGACAGGTGTTCAAGACGTGATGGTTATTACTGTGGTGGTTACTGTGGACAAAACTGTTCATCTCCCTTCCCTTCCCTTCCCTTCCCTTCCCTTCCCTTCCCTTCCCTTCCCTTCC